GCAGTTTCCTATTGAGGAATTTGAGAGAAACATTGGGGTTTGAAGATAAGTTGATGGGTGAAGGACAAAGAGAACTGGAAAGCTTGCCATTGTCGATGCTTCTTGGTGAAAATGAAGAGCTGAGATGATGGATAGTGGATAACGAATATGCCATTGCAAAAATTCAGAAGAAAGAAGAGCTAGAAAATCCTTTTTTTTGGGGGATAAAACCAAAATTTCTATCTTTCAAAACTTCAATAATCTTCAATTGGGCTTCCGTTTGAGTTGGAATTAGAGATGGGTTTCAGTCAGGACCAAACTATACTTTTGGGCTCATTTCTGTTTTTTTAGATCATCAACAAAACCTAATAATAATAATAATAAATTTTAATATTCAAATCAAAGGGTATTGATCCACATTTGAACTAATTAAATTAATGCTTAATAAACATAATATATTAAATATAAATAATTTTATATTTTAAAAATTATAATATATATATTGTATGGGTGCATTCATACATTATTAAGGATAATTTTTTTCGAATATTTATTGTCCTCCGCATTACAGTTGGACTACTCGGTGAACCTTATTTCAACTTAAAAGCAAAGCAACTTCGGTCTATGGGTTTCTATCATCGACTACAACCTCTATGATTTGGAAAGAGTTCTGAAGTATAAAGGAGAAGGTCCCTTGAGAGACTGATTTGACATCCAAGACATATTTCTAAGAATTTTTCAACTTTTTGGATGGCAGTCTTGGATAAATGACCTACCAAAAGATGGCAGTCTATGAGTGAATGTGGTTTATATTTATGAAAAAGTGAGATCACGGGTCATTTATTTTTTTAGTGTGAGATCTCTTAATATGTATGGAGTTGCATCTTGTATCTTTGTAATGAGAATAAACCTGTAATGGGTTGGTGTAATGAGTTTGATTGGGCTTATCGTAGATTGAAGGGGAAGTCTTTACGATCTTGGGTGTTGAAGTTAGCATGGAATGCATATACTGTTGTGATTTGGAAAGCGAAAATTACAGGTTGTTTAAAGATAATATGGATATAATTTCAAAGATGGTGGAACGTATCAAAGATATGATAAAATTGAGAACGTGGAAAAAACACCTTAATAATGAATGTTCTGTAAATAGAGATATATGTATAGCATGGTAATGGGAGTAGGTTAACTTTGTACAATTTTAACTGATTGTAAAATTGATTACAGATTTTTCTACTTTTGAATACAATAATGTTGTAACCGTCTTTCGGGTGGATCCGGAATCGGGCTTCGACTTAAATAAAACATGTTAGAGCCGTCACCGATAATTTTTTAAGAAAAAATAGGTTGACCGTACACCTTAATTTACCATCTTAAATGTTCTGCATTTTACCAGAACTATGTCGGATTCGGGAGTCAGTTACAGTCAAGGAAGGATTAACACCCTTGTACTGCCTTTTCGGTACCATTTTCATTTTTCAGTTGTCTTAATTACAAAAATTAAAAGTTAAATTATAAATGAAAATTCGATCCGAATTACTTACCATTGAAAAATTTAAAATTGACCTAAAATAGAAATAAATTGAATTAACGTTAAACATTAAAGAAAAACAAAATTAAATTAAGTATTATAAAATAAAAACTTTAAACTAAAAGGATTTAACTGCGAAAAAATTTAAATTTGAGGATCAAATGGATATTATTTGAAAAGCTACAAGAAAAATAACAAGTTAGGAGGAGTTAATTTGCAAAATATGAAAAATTGAAACATGGATTAAATTGAATGAGTTCGAAATTCCAGGACAAATTTATAACAGGTGACCAAAACGAATGACGCATCAAAACTACAGGGACTGCGGAAATAATTTCAATATTTCATAATTGCACAATAGCCCTCCCTATAAATAGCCCTTAAACCCCAAAATATCTTCATTTTAAACCAAACTTAGAAAAAAAAAACTTCTCAAAAAACACTCTCCAGGTCTTCTCCGGTCGAACCCCGACCCTCTGCTCACCGTAGTCCACCGCCCAGACCGCCGCTTCGGCCACCGAAAAAACCCAAACTCACCCGATAGTTTCCTCTCGCCACCCCGAAGCTTAAACCGAGACCCATATCACCCAAAAAACCCTAAATGACGTAGATCTACGCCTAAATGTTCGGGTTGTTTACCTTTTTCCGATGAAACCTTTTGTTTTACAGCGCCGCTCCCCTCCCAAACCGTTACTGACATTGCATTGTGCTTCAGAGTTTGTAAATAACGCCTTGTTTGTGGTTATTTCTTTGGCTTGGTGACTTTTGATTTTAACCGAATATGACTTGTTTTAGTGTTGGTTTTCTTGATTCGGTTGTGTATCACCTTTTTGTTCTTCCTTTGTGTGGTTGTTGTTTGTATTGCTTTTTTTCTCGATCTTGGTTCGTGCTTTTTTGATTTTTTTTCAGTGATGCTTTCTCGGGTTCCCCCTTTATCTTTCCCCGACGAGGCTTTTATAGCCTTTGATTGGTCGTTTGGGTCCCGATGATCTCGGGGTTATCCCAATCTTTACGGGGCTATTTCCCGACCCGTTCACGTTCTGTTGAGGTCGACGTTGGGCTGAAAATCCAGAGATGGTTCAGTCTCGGGAGTTCGGCCGACAATCTCAACCAACTCGTTGGCTCATGGCCTCCACGCGCGTGACAATCTCACTCAAGCTTGTCGGGTCTGCTGGGTCAGGCTTACCCGGATGGATTGTATTCTGGACCCGAATTTTTAGACTATTCGAACTTGAAAAAAAATAGAATAAAAAAAATAAGTATACTATAAAATATTTTGTAAAACTAATATTATATATATTTCAAAAAATATTTTCAAAACCTATATATTATATATATATTCAAAAATGTTTTCTAAAGTATATATTATATATATTTTTCAAAAAAAACTTTTTAAAACTATATATTATATATATTTTCAAAACTATATATTATCTATATATTTTTTAAAATGTTTACAAAACTATATATTATATATATTTTTTCAAAAATGTTTTCAAAACTATATATTATATATATGTTTTCAAAAATGTTTTTAAAACTATATATTATATATTTTCAAAAAAACGTTTTAAGACTATATATTATATATATTTTCGAAAATGTTTTCAAAACTATATATTATATATATTTTCAAAAATGTTTTCAAAATTATATATTATGTATACTTTCGAAGAGAAAAAAATGATTTCAACACTATATATTATATATGTTATGTATATATTAAATAAAACCCCGGACGAAAATGAGTGACTACAAATAAGAACATCCATCCAATATTAAATTAGATATTAACAATAATAAAAAATTATATAATTAATTCAATAATTAAATCGACTCAGATTATAACTAAAAAACACTCGCACGTAAAAAGAAACCGACCAAAAAGATAAACCTTCTCCATAAAAAAAATCAACATCTTCTCATGAAAAATGCCAAAATGGTGTGCGTGACGATGATCACACATACACAAAGTTAATGGACCATTTTCGTTTAGAGGTACCCTTCTTTTCACGTTTCAATTATGTTTACTCACTCTCCTAAAAGTCTGCTGACCTTCTTCTCCGTCCTAAATTACACTTTTCCAAGATTTTAAAAATAAAAAATAAAATTAACTATCATGTAGTTTCATAGGATCGGTTTAGGGTCAGATACAACGTGTATTGTAATTTAAAGAATATTGAACGTTTATGTCAATGTCACGAATTCTCGTGTATTGTACTAATATTACTTAAAAAAATATAATACATTGTTACCATAGGCAAACTAAACCAATTAATATTTATTTAAGATATAATACGGTAAACCATGCTAAATAATGTTTTTCAAAATTTGAAGTCAATGTTGTCGAAAGTTGAACTTTCATTTTCCGTTTCGACATCAAATTAATCAACCAATAATAAGTCATACTGACCAGGTTAAACTTTAACACGTACCCTTCTAATTAGTTCAAATACCTAATCTACAAATATACTATATTTTTATAGTTAAATTTCTTTAAAAAAAGATTATTATTTAACATATTATTTGTGACAAAAATAATCTCACAAGTAATGTTCAGAAATAATTGTACAATTTTTAAAAAATTTCATATTTTTTATAAATATAAAAAATAAAAGAATATAATTCTGAATAATTCAAATAATTAAAGATTTTGACAAAGACTTGGTCAATGTTTATTAGGATTTCTAACATTAACAGCAGCATACTGTTCCTTTTTCAACTTTCTTTTTAATAAATATTGGATAGTCTTCAACGATTTTTAAATATATTCTTTCCATTCAAATTTTCAAATATAGATGAAAATAATTTTATTTAAATCATATATTTAAAATTATCATATATTTTATATTTTTGTCATGTATTTTTTATTGAAAATATATTTTTTATCTTTCATAAATTTATAAGTTTATCTATTTTTAAAATTTTAAAAATTGTCTCAAAATATAAAATCATACGTTCGTCTTTAATTATATGATAATTTTCCATCCAATTCATTTTTTTAACAAATGTTATATTTATTCATTTTAAAATATTTTAAAAACACTTAATATTATATTTATTCATTTTAAAATATTTTAAAACACTTAATATTATATTAATTTTTAAGAAATCATGTTTTCACTGATGATATATAATAAATAATCATCCATAAAATTAACACAGATCGAAAGTATAGTAAAAACGAGTATGAGACCTTATAAAAAGAATTCAAAACTAAAATAAGTGAAAAAATAGTCAGCAAACGTGAAAAACGAGGAAACGCGGTGACGAAAATGGGCTATAAAGAAAAGCTTACAATTTTACAACCAGTATAAAAACAACGAGAACAGAGCGTGCGCCACCAAGGCATCAAGCGGCAACCAAAGTACCCGAACCTACCCATTCCACCAACCAGCAAGCATTTGTTAAGAACAAGATTAAAATAACCCAAAAAAGCCTTTTTCTTCAATCATTCTATCCATTTTTTTGGCCATTTAGAACCGGCCAGCATTTGCCTGTTACTTTCCCCTCAGGCTTTAGCCAATTTTTAGAAACGTTTGTGTCAGAAACATGATTTAATATGGCGGAAACGTAGATGAACATAGTAAATATTTTATGAGAATTTGTCAGCTTTTAATTTATTTTCCCTGTTTTTTCTCGAAATCCTTATCCGTAATCTATTCAGCGCCTTGCTGCCTTTGTTTCCCTCGGTATTCGAATCGATTCTTCCTTTTCTTAATCACCTTTCAAATTAAAATCTGTTTGGGGGGTTTGTCTGGTTTTAGGGTTATTTTTGTTTCCTTTCATTTCTTCGAACAAACCCTCGAGAGATTGCAGCGCTTAAAGATGGCTTTGGTTTCAGTTCTTTTTGAGATTTTAAGCAAGCCCACAATTGGGGATGTTTTGAGCGAGTTAATGGTCTTTATAGCTCTTTTATGGGTCTCTGTAATTGTCGGTGTTTTGGTTGGATGGACATGGAAGCCAAAGTGGGCAAGTATAGGCAGAGAAATGTTGATTGATTGTTGCGGTGATAAGGATTCATCTCCATCTTCAGGTTCTTCATGTATAAGTTTTGGTTTCATTTCAAGCTTGAATTCGATCAAGTCTCAGTTGTCTAGCTGCATCTCTTGGATTTCAGATAATGGGGCTCAAAAGGATTATTCTTCTTTTCCACCTACCCTTGATTCCAATTCCAGGTTTGTAACTTCACCACTTGATTTCCCCTTTTTGCCTTGTTTTTAACTAGATAACATTTGGTATATAATTGGGTTTGTCTTTGATTTTGCTAATAGCTGATAATATTTGTAATTGTGGCAGTTCATCACCGATTTCGAAGGAAAAACCCAGTTTTGTGAAAAATGAGGATTTAGAACATTTGTGTAATTTAGTTGAAGAAAAAGATGGTGGCCCTGCTTGGATTCATATGATGGATTGCTCTACTCCAACTATGTATTATCAAGCTTGGGAAAGAGATCTTGAGGTAAATTGAATCCAGTTTACACAAGACCATACTAGTTCGTTGTGTACTATGCGTGCTCTATGTATTGCTTACTTTTGTTTTGCATCTGTTTGGTAATTCATTTGATTGATTGATTTTACTTTTTGTTGTTCGACTAGTCCGGTCCTACAGAATATCGTAGCCGGACTGTTTTCGAAGATGCCACTCCCGAGATGGTGAGGGATTTCTTTTGGGATGATAAATTTCGACCAAAGTGGGATACGATGCTTTCTAGTGCTGCAACTATGGAGGAATGCCCCACCACTGGAACCATGGTGGTCCACTGGGTTCGCAAGGTTTGCAACAATTTTATACGGACTCCATTTGGGTTGATTTTCATTGTATTGAAACGTTTTTTCTAAGCCGTGCTTTCTTTTTGCAGTTCCCTTTCTTCTGTAGCGACAGAGAATACGTGATAGGTCGTCGGATTTGGGAGTCTGGGCGGTCATATTACTGTGTTACTAAGGTAATCAGCCAATTGTCAATTTTGGTTTTGAAACCAATGTCTAGATTGTTTATTACTGAGCTTTGAGCTGCATTGATCTGATAGATAACTTGGGGTGAATCGACATTCTTTTATGAATCTGATAGCAATAACACCGCATGTCATGACAACATCATGTTGAATCTGATAGCCAACTTTGTTTTCTCGTTTTTGATGTGCTGAAGTTTAACTCATAACATGTTACTTCACATTTAAGGGAGTACCTTATGCTTCCGTGCCGAGAAAAAACACACCTAGGCGCGTTGACGTATACTATTCAAGCTGGTGCATCCGTGCAGGTATTGGACTTCATATCATGTCGTTTTTGTTCTCTCATTTTTCTAACGTGCTCCTATGAAGTTTGAAACTTGAGAAAATCGATTTAGATTGGGTATCAAGCATAAAGGAAAGGGAGATTATCTAACCCTTCCTTTAGATGGATTTCGTAGGAATTTCATGGACTAATGTTTCGTTTAAGTTTTGAACACATATACTGTAATATAAATGCTGACCGATAATTCTTTCGTGTTCTTTTTAAACAGTTGAATCAAGGAAAGGGGATGGTCAGCTTACTGCTTGCGAGGTGTTACTTTTCCATCACGAAAATATGGGTATACCATGGAAAATTGCAAAGTTTGGAGTGAGGCAAGGTATGTGGGGTACCGTCAAGAAGATCGAACCCGGCTTACGTGCGTATCAGAATGAGAGAGCATCAGGAGTTCTATCCCATTGTGCTTTCATGGCTCAGATAAATGCTAAAGTAAGTGCAGACTATCTAAGATCCTTTGAAAGCAAAAGTAACTACTCGTCAGAGCTTGAAACACATAATTCGTCCAAGAAACCGACGGGAAACAACATTCCCAAACTTTTAGTTGTTGGTGGGGCTATCGCCCTTGCTTGTAGTCTTGATCGAGGACTCTTAACCAAAACAGTCATATTCGGAGTAGCCCGCAAGTTTGCAAACATCGGAAAGAGATTGTGATCTCATATATTCCGGTCATCCAATTCGGAGTAAGTCGGTGAAAGCTAATTGTTGCTACAATGAAGTGAGATGTTGCTATCATTGGACGACCTACTCACCTGCTTTTAAAGGGTGGAAGATAGAAGGTTGTAAAGTTTTGTTTATGTCGGCGCCGTGAAGTTCAGATCCGGTGAAATAAAGATTAGATATTTGAATTAAAGCATTTGTTCCGATGCTCTCAATCTTAAATTTATTTATTTTTCTTGGTTGATTGTAGCCCTAAAAAACATCATACGAAAAGTATAAAAGTCGATAGACCAAATCAGTCTACTCGATCATATTAAATCCGATCATTGAAAAGGAAGGATTAATAAAATCTGACCCGAATTTGAATATAATCAGATAAAACAGAGAATTCAAATTAATCAACAGAAGTTCCAAATTATTTAACACATTTTTACTTCAGTAGGAAACAAGGGTCTCAGAGCAGTTGAGTCTGTCGAGCTCCGGTGCAAATCGGGGAGTGCTCTGTTTCTTCTTCTCAACGTTTCCTTCTTGTTTTTCTTTCAATGATTCTTCACTCATCTTTGATACATGCATCACAAGGCTCACATCAAAAGAAGAAGTAATAAATCTTCCAAATGATCTACTCGTCCAAGCCTTGGAAAAGAAGACCAGAATAACAACAGACTTGCAACGACTTTTTGAATGGGATTCTGATCTTATTTGGTTAACATGTATTCTGGAGATACAACTGTATGTCTCTTATCTTTCCAACGATTCTTGAATCGCATCAATCCGATATCGGGAACTCAAGATACGTTCATTTTAGTGAAGACAACGCATGCAGAAATTTCTATACGAGATTAATACGTGATTTTGTAAATATTACGAATTTTTAATATTTATATTGATTATTTGTAATATAATTTAATATAGGATGATGTATTATCTTTTAGGATTAGATTTATTATTTTATTAGGAATTAAGGTTGAGTTAAAACATTATTTTTTATTATTATTATTTTATTAGGAATTAGAGTTAAAACATGTTTAATTTGTTATTATTTTATTCATTAGTTATTTAGAACATTTAGAACTCAGTCCCTATTTAAATGAGGATTCATTCAACTTTGTAAGACAAATTTCTTTGATTAATAATACAACGAGAGTTCGTTTTTGCAAGTGATTATTGCCTTGTGCCTTCGAAGTTTCTTCTCCTGGAGTTCTTTCAAGTTCTTGTGAGGGAGATTAATCTTCACACTCCAATTTGTCTTTTCATCGCGATTAGGAAGGTTGGTTAGAGCCATATTATCGTGTTTGTCTTTTCATTGCGACCATGATGGCTCGATAAGATCCATATATTTTCCACAAATCCATCCTCACCATCATCACCTTTGTCATCCACCTTCACAAGGGAGATCTTTTGATTTATTGATTATCATACTTTATTTTTAAGTTCTTTATCTTTTGTTTATATTATTTTAATATTATTTTTACCTTGTTTGTTCTTGCTTGTTCTTGCACACAAAACCATCAAGGTACCCCAGCGGAGCTAGTTCACAAAAGATTCATCGTTTCAAGTTATTTTTATTTAATTTTAATTTAGATTCAAATTCTTCTTTGTTAGTTTGTTGTTTTTTTTATAAAAAAAACTCAAAAAAGCCAAAAAATCACAAAAATTCAAAAAATTGCAAACGAAAGATTTTAGGACTGCTTTTCTCCAGATCTCATATTCATCCTAAGAGTAATCTCCAGTCTAAAATTCACTCCAATCGGAGTTCATTAGAGTCTTCAAATACATCATTCAAGTTTAATCGACAGATTTGGTCTAGAATCTTGTCGAATTTCTTGAAAATCCTACTGGAGGAATTTCTTGGTGAAAATTTCCATATTGAAACTGCATATATTGAAGATCATTCACAAAAAAATCAGAATTTTTGAAGATCAATAACACCTTCAAACAAAACGATTATAAAAAACAGATTGTTTGTTCAACTAAGAATCTTATGGGGTAGCTCTCTGGTAAAGACGAAGCCACTGGCGTCTTTATTTGTTGCAAAAGCAAAGGGAGGTAGTGTGAGTGCCTGTCCCAATAACTCATCACCCAAAGCATCGAAGGAACTGAAAATTGAGTTCATGATGATTGCCACCTTCAAGGGGGGAAAAACACAATTCTTTTTAATGGATTGATGACTTACTGTTTGGTCGCTGAGAAACGATGGCTTAAAGAGGCCAAATTTATAAATTCGAATATATTATCTGTGAATTCATTTATGTTCAGTTTACTTTGCGAATTGAAGTTGTGGAGCCTGACGCCCTCCTGCACCGTTGCTATTGGATATTGGCATTAGATAAACAGTAGCACTCGAGAAGTGAGCAAAATTTTGAGGAAAACTTTGTCCTTTTAACGAAATGTAGACAAGGAAATGACCGACATCCGCTCAGCATACCCGAAGTTGAAGGCTCTTGAACTACTTTATTACAGTTCTCGGTAATCCACTAACAATTAAATTGCTGGGTAAAATACATAAATGTTATTTTGACTATAAAATATTGGTTTGTTAAATTATCTGACTATTAAAAAGTTATAAATGATCTTTCAATTATATGATATTATTTTGTTTAGTCCTTCAACTATTAAAAATTATAAAATGATCACTTAACTATTCATATATTAAAAATTCATCATTTCCAGTAAAAAATTAACAATCGTTTGACTTGGATATTAACATGCTACATGAGATATGATAGTCTTTTGAAATTTTGTGATCAAATTTTAACATATCTCAGTCAACAGGTTAACGTCCAATTATTTAATGAAAAATGACGAGTTTGGAACATATAATTGGTCATGTGATCATTATGTAACTTTTAATAGCCGCAAGACGAGGACTCACAAAGTAACACCCTATAATCGAAGGATCATTTTGTAACTTTTAATAATTGGGAGACTCGATAAAGCAATACTCTATAACAGAGGGACTATTGGTATACTTCACCCTTAAATGTTTAACCAACGCTGGTTGGATTGAGCTGTAATAATTAAAGAAAAAAATTAGTAATGACAATAAAGTTAAAGAAAATAAAATAATAAAATGATTTATTGGTCATGGTATAATTATTGTCTTATTAACTGATTTTACTCTAATCGGTATAACAGTTATGCTTGAATTCTATCCTGTTATGGTGCAGCCTTCGAAAACAGCTATTGCAGCGGTTAACCCGACGTTTTTGCCGAGGGTGAGGCACATTGTCACCAATTTGTCATACGGGAACCAGTTGAAATCTTGGAATCTTTCCAGTTTATATATACATTTTAAATACATACACACGCATGTAAAGATGTTTCCGGTGTTGCTCATTGTGATCTACGTATATTGTCATCCTCTGCTGCAGTGCTTCGGTATCCTCGTTACTATAGGAGTTGTCTCTTGGTCATCCTTGCTACTTTCAGTACATGGATTTCGATGGATTAAAATTAAAAATGAGTAATATAGAATATAAGGATTAAATTAATATTTTAACTATATTTCAAAGAGCCTCTGCAATTTCATTTAGCAAGCCCACGGTGTGTCAAAGAAGAGAGATGCGAGCTTGGTGATGGTGACAAATTATATGGCTGCCACGGCATCTGCAAGGGCAAGGCAAGGTCCCGGAGCACACCGAGACAAAGGCCAGTGAACCCAGAGAGAGGTCAAGGCAGTTCGTTATCTAAAGAATAGACTTGCTTACCAAGCTAATGAAACTCATGCTGGTTTAGGCCATAACTTGATAATGCCTAATTTCAGATGTACACCAGGACACTTTGGGTTGGAAAAGAATCAATATGTTCTTCATGTTATAAAGGAAGTTTTGGGGGTGAAATTTCTCCATGTTCAATCACTGATCTAAAGCGGTTGACATGATAAATCGAGTCATTTCGATATTACTTTTCACGAAGGATATGATCCTCAAGACATCAGTGTGTAATTTCAAATTAGAAATTACCATTTGGCTCATATATCATTCAATAGTCGATCAAATAATGTAGATTACTACTTCACGTGATGAGATTAAAGGACACAATTATATGAAATATCAAAATTTATGTATCATAAACTATTAACCTATCAAAAGTATATAAATATAAAACTTAATAAACGAGCATTGGCATAAAAAGAATACACAAACATGAAACAGATACGCCAGATCATGCTACAACAAATTCCCACGAGTCATTGAATAAACAAGAAGTTTAAACAAAAAGTATAGCATGATTTTGTTTATTTTTGTTACAAACTAAAAGTTCACAAAAGTGCATCAAAGTTTAATATTATCCTACCAAGTAAACCAAAAGAGGGGAAAACAAGTACGAATTATAATTAATTTTTCTTAACAATGATGCCATTTTTTAGAATATGGGTTTTACCTCAATGTCCCAGTTTGATTTGCTGTCCACTTTCTTCAATTAGTGTCCATAGGTTTCCCTTATCTTGACGATTGGTATTACAATTCAAACTCATCTTCAAGCTTCAACTGCTCAGCAGCAGCCTCTTCCTCTTCATCATCGATAGCAAAATATGGGTTATGCGCCTCTGGCTTGAATTTATACCCAGTAAACACGTAAAAGGCTAGTGTAGCCAACTCCCCAGCCAACACACTAGTCCAAAAATACTTGTACGATGTAATAGTCTCCAAAGCATAAACTACAACTCGAGTGAAGTAGATATAGCAGATGACCACAATGTAATACTGCCTGAACAGGGTCAACTTCATCAAATTCACTGCAGCTTTTCCATCCGTCCGAGCTGCCTCACGCAAGTTCTTAATCGACCAAACAATCGGGAACAACACGGCACAACAGCAAATGACATCAACAAGCAAGAACACTTGCTTCCATGTGACCCTATCTTCACCGAAAGGCGAGGTCTCATCGACAACAACTTGGGCAATGTTAGCAACAACTTGAAGTGGAATCACAATCATCAAAACCTTCTTTTCCTTGTCTTGCAAGAAGGGTTTCAAAAACGACCAACCAGTGCCGATCAATACGATCAGAGTAAAAAGCATGATCCCTTTCAAGAAACTGAAAATGTAAAACAAAACATCCCAACCATGAGCACTTCCGGTTCGTTTGATATAAGATTTATCCTCTGCTTCGAATATCAGATTAAAAGCTTTTAAAACAACGACGGCCAGCATAAAGAAATGGATTCTAAAAACAGTGAGTTGTTTTTTGTAAAGCACATAGATCCAAAGCCCTGCGAGAGAGAAATAAACAAGAGACAAAAGGAAA